TACCGTTAAGACAAAGATTAAGATATTATCTTACAGAGCGAATATTAGTGATTTTGTCGCTTAAATTGAGTCGTCATTTCTGTGTATATCGTACTGTGACTTTACGCGCGAAATTGCGAGCGTTTGAAGTGTCCGTAACGGTAGGTATATTGCAAAAAAAAATTTATACTAAATTTTAGTATTTTGATTTATTTTATAATCAGAATATATTTTTCTGATAATCATTAAAGTAGTCATAGGTACATAATCAACTTCTTTTTTCCAAAAAAAAAAAAAACTATCAAATAAATGTCTATGCGCTTGTATTATCATAATTAAAATTTAGAAGTGGCAGTTTATGATGTAGAAAGACTATTTTTTCTGCATTTGCAGGCAGTAGTTTACTGCTAGACAATCCCCGATTCAGAGAAAAGACGCTCTGAATAAATACTACTTCCTCGCACCAAAGATGAAACAAACACAAGTTATAACACACACAGATACAAATTTCCCCGCCACGCGCTGACCGAATACTTTTGCCTAATATTCGGCTATTCGGCCAGAAAGCCCACCGAATATTCGGTATTCAGCGTATGGCCGAATATACTATTCTTTGCAAGTCTAGTAATTTCCTATGCCTTTTATTGATACTTAATAATAATTTAAATGGCTTATTGAACCCTAACATAATATGAAAGAGCTCATTTATGTTCTATTATATCTCAAATATCCTCAAAATAAGCGCTCAAAATAATATCACAAAAACTTATTTAGTATTTATTCAATTTCAGAAAAGGAAACTTATCGTCTATTTTCATTTTAATCAAATTGAGATGATTATTTCGTGTTCCTTCGCTCTATATAAATAACAATTTCTAACTTCTATAATTTTAGATGTTTTTTTAGAAGTTAGTATTTTTATAGAGCGAAAGAACACAATAACTTTTACAAGAATCTAAAAGACGTGCCGAACGAACCTATAATATATATTTAGTAACAGTTCAGTTTGAACGTTAAGTAAATTATTATCTGATGAAGTTATACTCGTATATTCTCCCTTATTACTTTCAAATTTTAAGATAGGAATACCCTTGTAGTAAAAAAGAAAAGCAAACGGTCCCAAGAAGAAAAAAAGTATTTATTTAATTTTTCAATTTATATTTACAGAAATCTATATATAAGAAAAGATTTTCGATATGGTTTGCATGATAATACGTAATTAAATTACAATTATATATAAAAATAGAATAAAGCAACCTTTGGTCTACATAATGATTTTATAATATTTGTGATCTAAGATTTAAGTAAGAAAATAAAAACATCTCAAAATATCACCGTAATATGTAAATTATGTGCTATGTACATTTTAAACATAAATATTTTTTAATTTGTTTAAAGTATTTATTTTTTAGCTTTGGTATACATTTAGACTGTAATATCTATACTATATACATAATACAATAAATATAAAATAACATAATAAACCCTCCTCGTGGCTTTGCCGTAGTCGCGTATTAAATTGAGAATGTTAACAATATTAACAGCAACTTAACTATTATACATAAAAATGTCATTTAGGCCAATTAGATAATACTTATATATAACTACAATAGAATATTTCAATTTATAACATTAAATATATATGTACTTTACCTTCGTTTCCATTGCCGATTTTAAAGCAAACAAATTGATAACAGGTAGAAGACATGTTGCAATAAAAACTTAAAAAAAAACCGACTTCCAGGCACTAAAATGTAAAAAATAACTCAACGGGGTTTTCATTTAGTATAATAGATACCTAATAGGATTTTCGAAGTCGGTGCCAGCCGATGCATCTATATCTATATCGAAATCTAATATATTTTGATACGTAAAATACATACATATTTACCTATTAGATATTCATATCTTAAAATATCGTCCGCTGAAAAATTCTCCAAATCGGTTCAGGCGTTTTCGAGTAATCGGTGAACATAAAAAAAAAAGATTTGAGAACCTCGTCGTTTTTGGAAGTCGGTTAAAAATAATAAAGATTGATGATAATAATAACTCATTTTCTACTCATAAGCCTTTTGTTGAAAATGTTTTATTACGTTAAAAGTAATTAAGAAGACAATGAAATGTAAACATTTAGGTTTCATATCTAAATTAAATGTTTTAAACAAAGTACACGCAAGGGTGCTTTACATCAAGCTTTTTTATTATGTTTGTATAAAACGGCTTTAAGAAATGTTAAAGGGGTAGCCTTAATGTACAAAACTTTAATTAGTACTTTTTTTAAATATTATTACATGAACATCAAAATGTATGTATGGGTATAACATTTTTAATAAATTCTCGAAGGTTCAGTTCAGATAATTCGCTTACCAAGTTGCGGCTTCAATCTCTATAATGGTGGAAACTTTTAAAACTTTTTTACTCGGCTAAATGAAGATCTATATAATCCAGCTTTGTTTTACAGAAGTTAGATACTCAAAAGTTTAATTTAAATTAAAATATTGGTCTTATAATAATTATTTAATATAAGTGATCGTACATATTACATGTGTACTCCTTTGACCCTTTCTTTGATTACTCGCTAGAAATAGAAGAGAAGTAGCGTATTTTACGGTGTATTACTTGAATGAAAGGATACGTTTGAGGAATTCCGTGTATAAATGAAAAAGATCTAGCACTAATTCGAAATAAATACTTCCTACATAACGTCGTCTTACTGCTTATTTGTACAAACGAGGATTTCACTGAAATAGATTTAAATCCAGAATTATTGACTTATGTCAAATATTGGTTTTATATACACATTTTACTTTAATAAAGCCAAATAAATATGTTTTATCACATATGTATGTATGTAAAGCTTTGTTTTTAAAATAGAAGAAAAATCTCTACTGTAAGGTACAAGAAGTTCGAGTATATATAAGTGAGCATTAAGGCGACGATTAAAAATACGAAAATTTACTTAATTTTTTCCTTTTTTTCATATTGGCAATAAATAATGATTGACAATAAAAAAGATTCTAAAAACTTTAAGATTTCAAATAGTAGATAGTAGGAAATAGTTTTAAACCTATAATCTTTTTTTATCTCAGAAATACTAAAAGTGGTACCTAGTAATGGTAAATAAATATATTGATAAAAAAATATAATTCCATACCTGCTCTATTCTATTTTACGTATGTGGTGAAAAGATAAAACAAAGTGAGGTTAATTTTTATATAACTACCACAAGTTTCGTGCAGAAATTGAACTCTTAAACTTCAGAGTCGATTCAAGTAAGTCAAGCTTTACAAGCGTCTACTTGTACAAGTCGTCGATATGAAAAAGAAAATTTTATATTGTTCAAATGTAAAGTACCTTCTCGAGGATGATATCAGGAAAAGCCAACCGACTTCTCGAACAACAAAAATAAAATGTGCGATCTTGTAAATTATTCAATTTCCTCGCACAAAAGCCGCCAGTTTAAATAACTTTCAAGAATATAAAGATTATCCTTTTGAGACGTTAAGATTGCAGTCATTTTGAAATATTTTTATTTAATTCTTCAAATGATTACATACATACATACATAATATACATAAGTAACTCAACTAATTATTATCATTTATGGCACATAATAATAAATATAAATAAGTATACCTACACAGTTAAAATTTTGGTTAGGAACAGCTGTAAAATTATAATCTACTCCCATATTTTTTTATTTGAAAAAGTTTTCATTTTATATATTTTACCTAATATTTTTTGTTTTCAATATAAAATTTGAAGATCGTCTGGCAAAGTGATTGCAAGGTAGGGTTCCACTCGAATCAAATCATTTTTCGTTTCGTTTTAAAGGTCGTTGTTTGTTTTGCGGGCAGCGGTAACATTGTTGAGTCAATTTTTGTTCATCTGGATAACCAAGGGAAAAACTGAATGACATTTAAAAAACCAGAAAAATTGAAAATATTTAAGCCACCGCTTAAGTATGTTGTTGCGAAATCATCATCATAATCATAAAAAAAAAAACAATTTATTTATTCCCTTACTCCTTTTTGAATATTTTTTTGGTTAGTGTTAGGTATTCAGTAAACTTTTGTAGTACTTACTGCGTTTACTGCTTCTTGTACTAATATTCATTAATATTAATATATTTCTCAATAATTCTTATTTTTTTTTACAAAATGAAATCATGTAACATAATATTTATTCTATAAATGTACACATTAAACAATATTTACATAAAATTAAAAATATGTAATTACAACATGATTTTAAGCCTTAAATATAGAGCAAACTGTAAAATTTGTACTAAGATTAGTTACTTTAGAAATTTTATTCGCTATTTAAATTATTAATAAACATATGTACAAATTGTTAGAATTTTTTTCTTATTAAAAATATGCTATTCATAAATATTTAATACTAGCGTTATCCTGCGGCTCCGCAAGCGTAGTTCAATTATTTATTACTATTTAGGTATATATAGCTATATTATTGTAAAATTACATCAATATCCGTTCAGCACTTTTGCGTGAAAGAGTTAACGAACATCCATCCATCACACACCATCCAACATTAGTAGGATATATCAATTATCATCTCTATATAAATCATAAATATTTTTATGATCTTATATAATTAAAAGTAAATTATTTTATGATAATGTTGCAAAATTTAAGACAATGATATATACACCGACAAATACGTAAATATATAGACCGTACATACTCGTACATCTTATATTAAATACAAAGTTATATACAACAATTTATAACAATTAGACTTTACATGCTACATTAAACTGCGTAAATCACTAACTTTTACGTACTACGTTAAGCTCATGAGATCACTAATTTACTCGTAACAATGTCCATTCGGGTTCGACGATTTATGTCGAAGTTTTAATCGTACAAATCGCGTCTAGATATTGTGGAAATTGTGTACAGTCCACTGCTGTCTGTTACCTCACTGGTACTCTCGGTTAATCAGGAAATGTCCGTATTTTCTATTTTATATAGATACCTCCGGCGATGCAAACCTCATGACTCACCATTGGGAGCCATCGTAACTGTGCTGCAGTTGGCTCGAGTGGACCTCGTGGAACTTCGCCGCAGTCCCACGCCTCCCACACGGTTCAAAAGTATCAAATTATCGCTCTTTCTTTTCCCAGCAATGTTACAAAACAGTAACTCACGCATACCTTTTCTAAAGTTCTTAGACAAAAATGCATATAACAAAGGATTGATTCCAGAGTTGAAATATGTAATAAGAAAGGTGAGTGGCGTCAAAAGGGCGCTGAAGTCGCTGGTACCTTGGTAGCCGCTAGACCAGTACTGCCACATTTTTCGTGCATGGAAAGGCAAATTGCAAACGGCGAATGTTAGCACCACGACAATCAACATACGAACTACGCCGCGACGAGCGCGTAGTACATTTCTGGAGAGGTGGCTCAAATGGTGACATCTTCTTGATCCGTGACTGTTATTTGACTTCGAAGATTTTGGCGATGTCTGTGATTTTACCTGAATAAAATTTTCGTCAATTAGTCGGTACTGTTTATCTAATGCTTATTTATGAGTGCAGTTTGTTTGCCTCTAAATGTGTAGAAACGTATAACGTTCATGGTATAGGGGACATTTTATCTTGGTTTAGAAAAAGATATTAGGGGTTTATAAGTGTATTTAGCTGGACCAAAATGTTTAATAATTTAAAAGAATATAAAATTTTAATAAAGGAAAAGTTACCAAAGGACACGCTACCTTTTTCCCCAGATTTTAAAAGTTGTATTACTGTTCTTGTCCCAGGATAAACATAGAATATACATATTGATTAGAATATCAAGTAAAAAAACTTTCTTAATCTAGTGCTTTTAGTGTATCTATCATGTAGTATTTTTGTGTATTTACTGAATAATTTTCAAATACAATTTTTCTGTGATCTAATCAATATGTGATCTAACAGAAAACTTACCGACTATCTTAGATTATTCCAACTTTTATGTAATATCTATATATATTAGCGACTCACCCTCACTTTGCTCGGGTTCTACGCTAGGTACGTTTTAGCGGTTAGTGATTCCCATACAAAATTAACATCTCTAAACTTTTCGAATTTGCAGCAATTTTTTGTTTGATTTTCCGTATTTTTTTATTTTTAAGCCACCCTTGACACACTCCCAACAAAACAAAAAAAGAATTATTTAAATCGGTCCAGCCGTTTTTGAGTTTTAGCGAGACTAACGAACAGCAATTGATTTGTGTATATATATATATATATATATATATATATATATATATATATATATATAGAGAGAGAGAGAGAGAGAGAGAGGAATATTAATTTATCAGTTCAGAAATCTTTTATAAATAATTTGTACTCTTACTATTGACTTGATGTACAGGTTGGTAAAAACGAATGGGACATGGAAGAGAAGTACATTAAATATGGAAGATATCAAACACTTAAAGGAGACTTTCCTTTATTACTAATAACTGCATTTAAATATTAAAAAAAAGTTTAGTAAAGCGTGTAACCGAACCAGCTAAAAATGCAAAATACTACAACGTGACTATTTTATCAAACTAATCGATAAAGGTTTGGTAAGAATAAAACCTCTCGAACAAACATTGTATTTTACATTTACTGAAAATTAAGAAAGTCATAAACTCATCAGCCACTGATGCATGACGCCATGCTTTGCTAAATCCTCTTTACTAAAAATCCATGCAGTAGTTTTCGCGTGAGAACAGAATATTAAGGATTCTTTTTATAAAAATTTGGTAATTATGCATACCTAGGTATTTTAAAATATAGTAAGTCTAACAACAACAGAATGAAAACAGTATTTCAATAAAAGTTTTATTTGTTTTCGATCTTTAATAATTATTTTAGGAAATAAAAGACTTTCTATCTGTGTATTTCGGATAGGGGCTCACCCTCGCTTCGCTTGGGTTCTGCTCTAGGAAAACAAAAATAAACCTATCCCACGGGAACCGTACATTTTTCCGGGATAAAAAGTAGCCTTTGTGTTATTCCAGATTATAATCTATCTCTGTGCCAAATTTGATCCAGCTCCGTTCAGCAGTTCTGTGGTGAAAGAGTAACAAACATCCATACTCACAAACTTTCACATTTTTAATATTAGTATATATGTAGATAAAATATAAAAATTTAAAAATATAAAAGATGGCAGTGAAACACCACCAACTGTCTTAAACTTGTTACTGAGAATTACAGGCTCGACCTAGGATTCGAACTCATGACCTCTGGCCACCATACATGCTATCCACTAGACCTCAACCTAGTCAAGTTTAATTTTAATATAAATCTTTACATAATATAAAATGAAGTCGCTTCCGCTGTCTGTTCGCTTAGATCTTTTAAACTACTCAACGGATTTTAATGCAGTTTTCAACAATAGAGTGATTCAAGAGGAAGGTTATCCTGATGATGATGAAATTATAATACAAGCATATGAAAAGCCGAGAAATTCATAGATTTGTATTTCATACCAACCGTCAAAACGTGCCTAGGGACGAACCCGAGCAAAGCGAGGGTGAGTCGCTAGTAATCTATAAACAGAACAGTTGTCTATACCTACCTACTCTACATTAGTGTTATGTGTATTACATAAGGTACAATGTCGTCCAAGAACACAAGAATCATTAAAATAGACCTGAGTCGTGACAAATATTATGTACAATTGTTCGAATACAATTCAGATGGTAATATCCATGCGCTATGGTGCGTAATAATAAGGTAGACTTTCCATATATAATAGGTAATATATTTCAGAAATATTCATTATTTTAATGGGTCACATATCATTAGCAATTAAATCATGGGGGAAATTACTAAAATTTAAAAGCAACGCAATAATATAAACATATTTTTAAAAAAAACAATAAAATCACAATGATAATAGATACCTAATTCTAAAAATAAATATGGCTTAGTATAATAAAAATATAACTGTGAAAAATACATGTATTTTACAATCTAAAACTGAGAAAATGCGTTAAAAATATCAGTATTCTAAGAATCGATCAGACAAACTGATTTGTATTTGGAAGTTACCTACTTCATTTTTAAAAGCTTTTGTTTAGCTTGCTATGTTTGTTAGTTGGTATGTTACGGGTCAAATTGTAAACTGCATTAGAATCATTTTTTCTTACCCCACAGAGTAGAAATTTTACATGTTGGTTCAGTGCTGATGACAATGAAATCTTATAATAATTATGACCTGATTCTACCTCTAGGATTGGCTCCAGACGAACCAACTTTTTATATACCATGAATATGTAAATATATAATATGATAATGTAAATATGATAATATAATAGCAACATATGAATAGAGAGTCTTTAAGCGTAGGTTAAGTAAACAGGTAATTTTTCAAAATAAATAATAAAAAATACAACAAAAAATATACCTTACAGAAAGATACATCTTAGGTTACGGAATTCAATTGTCAATTTAAGGAAATGGTCGCGATCAAACCAAAATATTATTTCTGTTCGAGATAACTTTTACTAACTTTTCAATCTGATTAAACATTCCCAAGTTATTTTAGCCTTTAGTAATTGATATCAATTATGACAGCCATTCTCTCACAGAACTATTAAGTGTATTATTGTAGGTAAATGAAGAATATTTGAGGAGGTTCTTTTCAAAACTTGACTATTCCACTTTTTGTGTTTTTTTTTGTGTAGTTTTGTAGGTATGCAACTATGTTTTTAACCCGAAATTTTGATGCATTATTATCAGCTTTTTGAAATCAATTTCATTGCATAGTTTTGATAGAAGTCGCTGTGAACATACTACGTTGTTGGAATATACGACAGTGGCAATATTTTATAAGGAGTCGTGACAACCGCCTTCTAGTACGTAGTGTAGCAAATAGTAAGTACCTATCCTATCCTTTGTTCGCCAAATGCTTTTCTTTTTCAGGTTATTTAGTATTTCTCTTTCATACTTGAAAAGTTACTATTACAGCATTTTAAGACATGATTATGGGCCGTCTCACAAAACTAACGATAGGTAGGCTAATAGCTACAGGAATATTGTCGACATGGAAATATTAGTCATTTCAGTTCAGTTCATTCACTAAATTCAAAGTTCTTATCGCTTCATAAATCATTTAATAGTATATTTATTATGTAGTTAATTTTCTTTTAGGTTATCTGTGAGTTTTTTGCTGGTATATTTTTCAAATTATTGCTTTTAATACATTTCAAAACTATTAACTGACGTTTATAATATAGAATGTGTCACTATTTCAATACATATAGAGTAAGATCCCGGTGCCCCCAGACGTTACTTATTTTCTCATAAGAAATATAAATGGGATAAAGTAGTGTTAGTACGTACTTTGTGTGTGTGCATACCTGCTACCTTGGGTCGACGGCCAATTCATAGGTACCAGGTGCTAAAGGTAGATAAATACAGTACTGATTTTTCTTAAATTCTCAGTGCTGATTTTTACATATGTTTTAGATATTGTTGTTAAAAATTAATAATCATTATTGCCAGACACTTTCCATCGGCGCTTACGCTTACGCTTTAAAGCTTCAAAAAAATAACATATTCTTACTTATAATCTCACTCTTGATTTTTATGTATGATACTTGGGGAACTATTTGAACACCCCTGGTCAGCAGCCAGACCAATTGGAGGGGTCAAACATCCCCCCAGACACACATAAAGTGTCGCTATGTGTATAAGCGCGAGGTCATTATTTGTACGCTTGAGTGTGAGAGAGATATCTATTTATGGATATCTTTCTTATACTTATTGACGTCTCTAGGCTACTCTATTCAGTGCTACTTGATTCAGTGCATCTGTCATTTTATTTACAACGTGTTGAAATAAAAAAAAATATTTATAATATTCTAAAAAATATAATGGCAGAATTATTAAAGTGTGTGTTTTGTGAGAATTCCGATGTGAATTTAATATTGTTTACGGAAGAAACGTTGAAAAAGTGTCAAACAATATTAAAACATAGAAAGGAACATAACCTAAAATTCAAAAATATTGTTTTGCCAGCTGATTTATATGAAAGTGGTTATCATAGACAATGTTACAAATCGTTCACAGGTTTGATGAAAAAATATTATTCTTCAAAAGAAAAATCAATAAATATTGCAGAAAATTCATCAGCAGCATGTTCATCGACATCTGAATTAGATACACAATGTATTGAGGTACAATCATCTATTCCACAAATTTCGAGTCTATCAACTTCTTCTGTACGTGACACTATTATAATACCTGAGCCAGCTACTATACCTGAGTTAGTCGAACCAGTTCCATCCAATTTACCTGAAAATAATTTACAGCTAGAAAACATTGATCCATCTTGTGAAACTAATACATCAATTGAAAGTTACGTAGGTATTGGTCAAAGCAATATTATCTGTATGTTTTGTGACCAGAAGACTAAAAAGCACCGATCGAAAAGATTACCTCTACATTCGTGTGATAAAAAAGATTTCCTTTCTAAACTAGATGAAGAAAATGAAAATCATAAGGAGTTCATTAATAAATTTGAAAATTATTCGCTTTCAAAAATTTATTATCATCATCCTTGCAAATTAGAGTTTTCTTATAAAACATCAGTAAAAAAAGAAACACCCAAAAGTGATTGGCATGATCTTCGTCAGCATCATCAACGATGATGACAGTAAAGATCACGCTGAATGTTCAAACTACAAATAATCCGAAAGAAGAAAGACATGTATAGCTTTGTATAATTTTAAGATTTAATAAACATGAATTTTTTAAATAGTAGTATTCAATTTAACTCAATGATAAGATGTAAAACATAGGTTAAAGAAACTTATATTTATTATTTATAAAATTTTCTCCACCCAGATCACTTTAAAATACCTTGTAATCTTCAGGTTCGATTCCATTTTGTATGTAACGAATCTCTTGATTATATCGAACAGAGCAGAGAAGCTTTAAAGCGTAAGGTAGCAGGTATGCACACACACAAAGTACGTACTAACACTACTTTATCCCATTTATATTTCTTATGAGAAAATAAGTAACGTCTGGGGGCACCGGGATCTTGAACTAATACGTGTAATAGGTCATTTTTAATTTTGAAAATATTTTTCGTAGAGAAATATTATGTTAACTATTAATATAAAAGTACTTGTAAAATGTAATTGAATGCAGAATACCAACAGATAAATAATAATGTTAGATAAAAATTATATATGTACCTAAATTAGTTGTAATTCTATTTTACATAGGTATATTTAGACATGACTTTTTGACTATCATAAAAGTGAAACTTAATAATCTCGTAAACCGACCTTGTAACTTGTTCCTTGTTTTGATATTCATATCGAACCTAATTATAATATTTGAAGTACTTGAGCAGAAGAAAATATTTCTATGACATAATTTATATAGAAGCTGGTGCTGTTGAATAATTTATTACTAACCCACTTGCATTCGGTTAATCCTCTCTCTTATGCGACATAATGAATTGCACTTCAAACAAATGCACGTGCATTTACCATAACCTGCCGTTATTCATAGAAACCTATGTATGTACAATTCTTAGTCATATAGGTAATAGGTATACATATATAATAAGACACTAGTTTTTTGGATTTATTCGCGGATTTGTTTAGATTTTTGGTTCCCGCAGTTTCGAATGCTTTACAACAATTATGGTCACGGGAGAGACTGAGGTTTTAAACTTCTCAAAGGTCATTATACAGATGACATGTACGTACATTTGTATTCAGCACTTTTTAAAGTCCTACTGCATTGGACACGGCATGATCAGGCCATAGTTTAGTCATATAAAATATTAAAATACTTTAGTACAAGATCCCAATCTATGTGGTGGATGGATCCTTCACTCTTTTTCCGCATGATTTTATTTAAACCATAAAACATATTAACAAACACGACCCAGGCGGGTTCTCACCAAAAATTTGCTCTATGCTATTTTTAATCGACTTCCAAAAAGGAGATTCTCAATTCGTCGGAATCTTTTTTTTATGTATGTTCACAGATTACCCGAAGACGTATGAACCGACTTGTAATTTTTTTTTCAAAGGGTATATTTCCCAAGTGGTCCCATTTAAATTTTATCGGTTTTTAAAAAATCTACAATAAATTATTTTTAAATAAATGGCTTAATCGAATATGTTATTAAAAAAACTTTATTTTTACAAATTACCTACTTATTACGTCTACACTAAATATGGAAAAATAAAAACTAAAAAAACGGACTTCCAGACACTAAAAAGTAAAAAATAACCGAACGGAGGTTTTCATTTAGTATAGATACCTAATCAGATATTTTCGCACTCGGTGCTAGCATATGAAAAGTAAAAAAAAACTATTCCGATACTTATTTAAACTATAGAGTTCATACCTTGTTATATTTGCCTGTTAGATATTCATTACATTAAAGCAGCTTTCAGTTATTTTTTATTTTTTAGAGCCTGGAAGTCGATTGTTTTTTAAGTTTTTATTGTGTAAAATAATACGCATTTTAATTAATTATATAATTAAAGGATTGCATATGAGGCACATAAATATGCATGTATATTTTTTAAAATTTAATATATAATACAATACAATACTTTCTTAGATTTACGCGAATATTTGACACGTTAAATTAACAAATATCCTGTAACGAGTATGTGTTTGAGACGTCTATAACCTTAGTCTCTCCCGTGACCACGATTGCTGTAAAGCATTCGAAACGTCGAAATCAAAAATCAAAATAAATCGGCGAAATAATTCGAAAAGATAGTTTTATTTAAAATATAATACAATATAATAAATAAATTTATAGCGCGATATAACCTTTATAAAGTGACGTCAATGATAATAAAGTATCGAAATCTAAACAGCTATATATTAACATGTCTGAATAGCTTCCAGATTATACATAAATTGAGAATTTCTCATGCGGAAGGATTTCAAAAGACATTATTCTTATGTAGGCGCAATAAAAGCTCCATTAACATGACTCAATAGATTCACCTGGGATATTGGTTATAAAGTATACTCACTATGCCAGTACATATAAAATGTTTGTAGAAGAGAGTATTATCTAAATTTTGTAAAGTGTAATGATAATATATACTAATATTATAAAGAGGTAGAGTTTGTGAGTTTGTGAATTTGTAAGTTTGTGACGTTGTAGGGGGTATTCTCTGTATCTACAGAACCCATTTAGATGAAATTTGGTATCAAGATAGTTTCAGACCCTGCATAGGACATAGGATACTTTTTATCCTAGAAATCATCCCTTAAGGGGGTGAAAATGGGGATGAAAGTTTGTATTGGGAAGCAAACTAGGGACGAATCCGAGTTAAGCGAGGGTGAGTCGCTAGTAAAATAATATGAATTAAAAATTATATAACTTCTAATATAATATTAAAAAAATAAATAAACAGTAGTTTACGTATTTCAGAAAATCTCAAATGAAAATGATTTTTATTTGTCACGGTATAAATATTTAACTTATAAGCGAAAACCCTAAATATATGAAGACCAAAATAACCATTCACGTACGTCCTGCAAAGCGGGTGACGGAAGTTTCACATCGTCATCAAATGAATATATGTATGTATTATTACTGGTACCTTTATAATCATTGTGGCACTATGCACTTTCGGTAGATACATATATTATGTAAATATTATAAAATGATATGCAAAAACCCAAAAATAATTCTATCCTTTACAATGAAATGAGTTATGCAAATGTAAGTAACTGTAATCTCAACAGGGTAAGGGAATTCGCAAATACGCAGTTATTTGCTAGCATGCAATAGTTATAGTAGTTTATCTAAATACAAAATAATACGAAATGACGATCTATATATAGTAATGTTTACTTGTAGATATTTCAAGTATTTGAAACATCGAAGCTAAATTTTTTTACCTTGGTTTCAGAGGTGCCAACAGTTCTTTGCGAGTCACTATTGGTGGTTTGTTTCTCGACGCGAGGACATTGCGTGGCGCAGCACTGCCCCTGTCCGAGTTGGCCGAGACCGTTGGAGCTCTGCCAAAGACCCACTGCAATTCTAGTATATAGCACCTGTTTAAAATAATAAAAATGTTTCATATGCTGTCTCTACAGTAATTTAATCAAAACAGCTTAAATTGAAATATTGTATAATGTAGAAAAAGCTAATAAGTGGTAAGAGTGATATTAATGTTTTGGAATAATTTTAATTATTATATATTAAGTATTTGTTTTTAAATTTCACTAAATTATTTTTTTAGAGATAAACATACGATCTCGTCGACGAATTAACTTATTCGTATGAGTGAGAGGTAATTTCTTTAGGTGTTTAGGTCTATTAGAAAAAATACAGGGTAATTAATTAATAGTAATTTAGCAATTTTTAGCCTGTGTAATATAAAATCCCCTCGAGCTTTCATTACCCTTTGAGCTTAGACTACCCAAATGTTTGAAATTTTGACTATGTTTAAATTAGTAAGATAAACTAATTTAATTTTTGTTATATGACGGCTTTGTTGTTTATATTCGGTAACTAGTTTTCGTCACTAGCTATTTACTATATTGTTAACTCTACAATTTTTAACGTCCTTATTTAGTTTTAATCAGGAACCTTCATAAAGTTTTTATTGTTAAAAAGAATTTGTATTGCTAATATATTATATTCTATATTTCTATATATTTTAATAATTTTCATTGATGATTGACCTAATTGTTTTCGTGTAGAGCTAAAAGAAAAAGTGTGGCAGTGACTAGTTACGATAAATATGACCAATTGGAATCTAGCTAAGAAATAGTAATATCTCCTGTTGTTTAATAAATAACTGTTATAAATTTTATAACTTATAATTTACATAAGTTTTCCTATGTTAAAAAAATATTTAGCCCTCTTCTCATTCAAGCAAGGGGTTCGGTAGCTTTGTTGTAACATTGGATTTAAACCCCTACTTATAATAGGGTTGCATTCCTAACAAAGCGTAATAAATATATACGTCTAAAAGTTATCTTAAAATATACTGAGCAAAAGATGTCTACCAAACTTGTAATTACTTAGTTGTTTTGGAATGCAAATATAGAGACAACATCGTAAAACAAAGACTAAAACAATGATTAAAAATAAATGCATTAATAATAAGTCGAGTAATACTATCTTAAATGCTATAAGAACAAGTATCGCTCAGAGCGCCATCGTTTCGCAAAATGCCAGTTTTAAATCTTTAATGATTTTGATAAGAGTTCTTGTAATCACTAAACAGAAAATAATAAATTTTACTCATAAACTCTTTATGTTAGAGGAATCATAAATTCAAACATAAATTTGAATACGAAAGAATTTCTATTTTTTGCACTTTTATATATTAACATATTTTTTATAATATTTAAATTCATAATGAATGCTTTTTTGGAACACTAAAATGTCAGTTTTATGGTGTCTTCATCGAGTTGGTTTCACATAATATCTAGAACTGTTAAATTAACATGAACTCACCGCGGTAAGACGTAATCTGATGGGAAAAACGATTATAAGGTTTTTTTAGTTTTTATTAATAGAATGTTCACCACATGGAATCAAATCAGCCCTTTATTATAAGTTGACTTTTCTCGTAAGGAAAAGTAGGTATATAATAACTTTCAAACTACGTGAAATAGGTATCACTTACAGCAAGCTTATAGATTCGTTATTTTAAGTCTTCTATTAGTGATATAGATTATAAAATATCATCTCGCAAAAGCGCGCAAGTTATAAATAATTGGAGATATCGTTCAGAGAAATAGATACCACAATTTACCAAAAATTACTTTTGGGAATGTGGTTTTTAAAATTATTAAGTCTGCTAAAACAATATCTTTGCTTGGTTCAAAATATTAATAGGTAAGTGCTTTATCAATATAGATTGTTAAGGGTCGCCAATGTTACCGTTAATTTAACGTTAATTATCCTTTGGTTGCTTCTCAAAGGAAGCCATATTAGAATTTATTGAAACGGCTAATCTGTTCGTTTATATCTAAGATCAAGCAGCGTTTCTCTCTTATATCTTAAGTAACAGGGTAAGACGTGTCATATATCATATATGACACATATATCAACACAGATTAGGTTATTTGTATCTACTAATTCAATTTTATTAAGAGTACCTTGAACTCAATATAAATCAGATATTAATCGTGTGGAGGTATTTAATATTAGATAATAATCGTTAGCAATTAATATTACTTACACAGTATTGTCCTCCGAATTATATTTTGGCAAGATATGTAGTACAAACCTGTCTTTTTTCGACCAGTAATAATATAAATTTGAAAATCTATACAAGTAAATAAAATAAAATTAGCAAAAAAATTAAAACCTATGAAATCTTTAAGAAATTCGCGCACCTAGGTCCTAGGGACACGAGCTAAGGGAGGGTAAGTCACTAGTAAAGTATATAGGTAATTACTAAATTCATCAGGTCTAAGATTTCAATTATTATTGTAACGGGCATGGGTTCTTACATTTATTACTTACTTTACTTCTTCGTATTTTCTCTTTTTTATTTTCCTCAATTTTCACTTAATCTATATTTTTACGAAGTATATATATAAGTACTATCGCCCTTTTAAGAACATCAAATATAGAGCATTCGAGTAATAAAACATTAATAAAATTCGAAAACGGTGCTTTTTTCCATTTTAGGCATTTGCCATTAACTGGCCTTGTCATGTAGTGACAACTATCTTGACAATTTTAGGAAAACATGGTTCAGTCTTGTTATTCTAACGTACAAATGTTCTACACTAGCAATTATACAACAGTCCGCTTATACTCGTAGTTCAAGTGTACGAACAAGAGCTACGAACTTGGAAGATTTGATACACTAAGATAAATCATATTCTGGTGCTATAAAATTTAGGTTGCACCAAATTCCTTAATTTAATTCTCTTAAATATGTATAAAAAACGTTAAATTATATTTTCGATAAATGAAAATAATATTTAAGATATTAAATAAAACTAGTATCAAAAATAACATTATGTTATGGAAATATATTTTCCTGTCCTAAAAATATTTATAAAGTTTTAGCTAAGACATAAGAGATACAATAACCGAAGTTTATTTATAAACTTAATAGAGAGATAGGAAGCTTAATAGAGTTTGATTTTTGTTATGGTTATTGGGTTTCTAAAAGAAAAAAGCCACTGATTACATTCGCTTTCAAAGTCCAAACTGCCAATACGTATATAAAATAGTGCCTGTTAAGATTAAGATATTGTTCCTAAAAGGTTATTAAGACGCTTATCTATACATATAATAAAACTGTAGAGGTCGAATGTCTGAACATAGAAAGAAAATGCTAAAAACCGAGTAAGGATGTAAGAAGAGAAAAGAATAAGTTGTTTGTCTGTTTGTACGCGCTAATCTCCAAAACTGTTGAACCGATTTAAATGAAATTTTGCATGGTGGTAACTTATATCCCCGGTCAATATTTTAGATACTTTTCATCCCGGAAAATTAAAGGGTTCCCCTGTGAATAGTTAAAAAACTATAGTATATGCTACCTATACAGCTTAGTACACAAAAACTACTGATTGGATTTTAATGATATTTTACAATGATATAGCTCATACATCAGAATAACAAATTAACTTTTTTTATCCCGGAAAAATGTACGGTTCCCACGGGATAGATTTGTTTTTGTTTGTCGATAATTATTATAGCAAGTATTTTTACATTATTTTAGGTTAAGTAGCTTCCTATCAGTGAAAGAATTTTCAGAAATGGGTCAGTAGTTTCAAAGATTATCTGCTACATACAAACTTATATATTTTATCTTTTTATAATATTAGCATATTATTACAAATGCATAATTTAATTCCTAACTTCAAGAAAGTATTAAAAAAAACAATATTCAATGATTTTCAATAAACATATTAGAATTCTCAAAAAAAGATTTGAAAAATAATCTATTTTTACGCAACTGCCAGAAATTATTAATTTCCAAGTTTTGAAGAGTCAAGAGCTGTATTTATGATATGATAGAAAAAAATACGGTTTCTTTAGAAAGATAAGGCCATAAGAAGATCCGCACGCTGCCCGATTTTCCTACAATTTATTTTATTTTTTCACCTTAACCCATTATTCGGACTATTATGAACATTATACAAAAATAAGGAATCGGTCCAGTCGTTCGCGAGTGATTTGACACCATTTGAATTTTATTTATGTATAATAACTTTAAAAAAGAAACCTACTTCCAGGCACTAAAATGTAAAAAATAACTAAGCGGGGATTTTCATTTAGAATAGATACCTAATCAGATATTTTCGAAGTCGGTACCAGCCGATGCAGAGCAAAATATCTAATATATTTCGATACGTAAAACACATATTTACCTATTAGATATTCATATCTTAAAATATTGTCCGCTGGCACCAACTTCGGAAATATCTGATTAGGTATCTATTCTAAATGAAAACCCCCGTTTAGTTATTTTTTACATTTTAGTTTTTAGTGTCTGGAAGTCCGTTTTTTTTAGTTTTTATTTTTCCATATTTAGTGTAGACCTAATAAGCAGGTAATTTGTAAAAATAAAGTTTTTTTAATAACATATTCGATTAAGCCATTTATTTAAAAATAATTTATTGTAGATTTTTTAAAAACCGATAAAATTTAAATGGGACCACCTGGGAAATATACCATTTGAAAAAAAAAATTACAAATCGGTTCATACGTCTTTGGGTAATCTGTGAACATACATAAAAAAAGATTCCGACGAATTGAGAATCTCCTTTTTGGAAGTGGGTTAAAAATAAAGAGAGATATAGAATTTTACATACACAAAATAAAAGTATTTTTCGATTAGATATCGGATATTTATTCAGGCGGCTATCACAGTCATAACCATAGAATTTTAATTATATTGGGCAGAAGCAAAGATAAATCTAGTTTTTTTATAGCAAATAATTTGGCTTTTGCATATGAAATAATTTAGGTGTAACTTCACTCACGTAAATATTTCTACTTAACATAACCCCTTTTTTAATGTTGGGAAATGCATTTAGGCCTACCAAAAAAAATCGACTATCAGGAATTTCCCAACGTCGACGCCAAAGGGATGAAATTTTTCTATTTAAAATTGTCAGAAGTTTTATGCATTCACCATTTCTTATTAGTAATATTTGTTTAAGATGTCCTCGTCCGTTATCACGTAATTTGTAATTATTTTGTCTACCTAGAATAACAACTAATAAGGTATGCACGTAATAGCTTTTTACACCGTTCTGCAACATAGACATAGATTTATTTTCCCCTACTTTAAATAAGTTCAAAATTTTAACTAGAAATGTCTGTTCGTGATTGTTTCCCTGTTTTTGTTATTTACTTTAACTTTTAATAAGCTAACATGCATTATAATCTTAAGAATTTGTATACCGTGAAGACATAATTGGTGTATGTAAAGTTTTTATTCTTTTTATTTATATGTACCTAAATACTGTTTGTCTTCCAAATAACTAAATAAATACTACCTGAATACATGCAGGTGGTTATGTGTAGAAAAGACAGCACTTCCCACTAAAAACCAACAGAACTTCCCTCGTCTTAATGAGGCGTCGTAAGATCGCTTTCGCTTTCGCACTCAATCACGACGCCGTGATAGCAGGTCTGCCAAAGCAGATCACACAACTTAAGAAGTTGCTCCCACGCAGCGCTGGATTTACACTAGGGGCTATGGACTCAGGACTAGTGCCCAGAGCGATAAATTTTTAGGGGCGACAAAATTCGGACTTTTAGCGAAAATGCTTTTTTATTTCACAAAAATGAAAAAAAAAAAGATAAACTAGTAGGTACATGTTTCGAGAAACTGATGTCATTATAAATTATTCCTTTGCATTTTTCAAAAAAATTATAATAAAAAAAAAATTAACTTTCAAGATTTTATTCAAAACTTCGATAACAGGGCGGCATTTTTTACTATGCTCAGGGGCGGCGCTAAGTTTAAATCCGGCACTGCTCCCACGGTCCACTCTGCTGTCCGAGAATCCGTGTGTATCTCTTGGCTTCGCGCCCGGTTGGGTTGAGTCCGCCCACCACAAACTTAACCTAAACCCCTAATGTAAGTGAATTTTAGTTATGTTTTTAACTCAGGTAAAACAATAAACAAATTAGATTAAAATTTAATATTAGTATAGCGTGATTAAATACCAAAATATACAAAATTTTAATAATAACGGAAGCACGCTCTGAGTAACTAGATGTAAATAATGGCCCCGTAGAATTTTATTTCAGCAACATTTTGTACTGAAATAGTAGTCAGGTAAAATTAGGTACTGAAATAGCAATCAGTAAAACCACATCCACTTTTAATAGGACACAAATTATGCTTTTGCAGCACAATAAAATAATTTTCTTAACCTGTTTCCGTATTAAATCTGTCTGGAAGATATTATTATTAATTTATGCTAGAATCACCAAACAATGTATGTATCTACTGGTAATGTACCTCACACACCTAAAACAGTATTAGAAATCTAAGTTTACCTATTTCCCATTTCATTTAAGTAAATAAATATAAGCCTATAAAAAAATGATAATATAAATATAATTATTCTCAGGGATCTTTTTTCCGTTATAAAAATTACCTTATATTTTTCTCGCATTTCTTTCCCTTTTACCCTTATTTATTACTAGCGACTTACCCTCGCTTAACTCGGGTGCGTCTCTAGGTGCGTAACAGTACCCTTTGTGCTTTCCAGGTATTATAGGATATTCTATCTGTGCACTAAATTTCATCCAAATCCGCCCAGTTTCAACGTAAAGAAGTCTATACGAACTTTCTTTATATATAGCCCGATAAGAGAATTTAAAATTCTCTACGCAATGCTAAAATCAACAAACAAAAAAGGCAACAAGTAAACAAAATTGACTAATAAAATATGTAATATATGTACATATGTATAAACATCGGTTTTTCAGTCAGCATCAGTAAAACAATCTTCAAGAAGCTGTAAATAGACACGAGATATTTACATAAACATTGTTTTAAAATATATGATTGAGGTAAAAGAAGTAAATTTTTTTTATGTCAAGGAATTTAGACACTACATTAATTTTTATTGCTTAAATTAATGATAGGAAAACAAATCTATTGTATATACCGTTAAAGCCATACAACTTATTTATATAATACACATCACACGTACATCGTACACTGCTAATCAGTTTTATTAAAAAAGTTGTGATAAATTTTATTACTTTAAAAAGAAAATTTTGAAAACTAGGAAAAAGTTTCTATTATTAAATTCGAAATTGATGTCGATGTTCTTTATTTTTAACCGACTTCCAAAACGGAGGAGGTTCTCAATTCGTCGGAATCTTTTTTTTTTAATATAAGTTCACCGATTACTCGAAGATGCCTGAACCGATTTGGATTTTTTTTGTTTCGGTCTATCGGTTTAAAAAAAATCAACAATAAATTATTTTTTAAATAAATTGCTTAATCGAATGTGTTATTAAAAAACTTTCTTCTTACAAATAAAAATCTGCTTATTACGTCTACACTAAAAATGGAATAATGAAAACTTTAAAAAATTCCGACTTCCGATAAAAACCGACTTCCAGGCACTAATATGTAAAATATAGTATACAATATTTTTAAGACAAGTAATATTCGGTTTCAGATGTTTCATAGTAATTCTTTCAAAATAATTTAACGAAAATACTTACACGAAATAAAATAGACAAAAGCTTGTGATAAATAACTGGTTTAAAACTCTATTTAAATTTTTGTATAAACTTAAGATATCAGAACTTAAGATGGTTTTAATTTGAATAATTTCAAAATTTTCCCAAAAGAAAAGATTTAAATATACAATATATATTCAAAATTTCTTGTAACAATGCTTAATTATTATTCATACTAGAAATTTTCACTTCACGCTTCTGTAGAGAAAAGTAGAACGCATGTATACCTAGTAGTTATACTCCTTTGAGTTACACGTTATATGGTAGAATCTCTTAAATATAATATCATCAGATTATTACACGAAGTAACAGCATGTGTTCACCGATTTTATTTCTCGTAGGATTATTATACTAACATTTTGGAACTATTACAGAGTCGGCGACGATTAATGATCCCAGTGGAATTGGCTGGATTTCGTCTTACTTTCATTTTTTTCATTCGTAAATGTATGTATTCAGCCCTTTTTAACGTCCCACTGCTGGGCACGGGCCTCTCTTCAATACGAGGGGGGTCAGGCCACCACGCTGGCCAAGTGCGGGTTGGCGGACTTCACATGTCTTTCGAAAACTTGCTAGGTTCTCTCAGACATGCAGGTTTCCACATGATGTTTTTCCTTCACCGTAAGGCAAGTGGTAATTATGTTAGAAATGATTCGCACATGAAAATATCAGAAGTGCGAGACCCGGAATTTGAACCCGATTCACTCGGTTTCCCAAGCAAGCGTGTTACCACTGGGCTACCACTGCCTCATTCGTAAATAGCTGTCCTATTTTCAATTAAATATAATGTTTGGCAATTTATTTGCGTGAGTTATTTAAAAGAAAAAAATCATGCTTAATTAAACTGTTGAATACTCCAGTAGACTCAAGTCAAACAAAATTAATGAGGGAAATAACGTATTGAAATTTTGTATTTGTTACGTTACGATCACTTTTTTTTAACTTTACGTAATGTTATATCAACTTTTACATTTCAGCAACATTTCTTAAATTTCAGCACCTACTACGAGTACAATGATCAAAATTTATACTGTCTTTCTGCGACACTGAAAATAATGTTAGATATTTTTTTTATTTTATTCGCTCATAAAATAAGACCTAAATTAAAAGTACTTAGATTTCATGCGGTGGATAGGCTTAACATTTGATCTAATTAGAAGCATATTTGAGGTTTTTGTTTTAACCTTATTTAGGCGCAATACTCTATATAGTATGTTTCTTGCCACTGTCTGCGGTTTCGCTTGCGTTTTATATTTTGTGTACATGAAATTTAATAATGATAGTTTTTACTTTAATCCCTGCTTTGCGTAAGAGAGCAAAAAATATATTTTTGGAAATACACGAATAAAATTGAAATAAGATGTAGCTATATTTTTAATTCTAAAAGTAATACAAGATTTTATTTTAGTTAGTCGAGTTAGATATAATGTGAAGCTTACGCTTAGAAGTTCTTGCCTGAGAAAACAGAAATTACAAATGAGAGCGCAACAGCAGGTAACTTGATTGTATTTATTTATAGAAAAATAAGTATGAGAAAAATATTTAAAATCTTCTTTTCAGATCATCTCATAATTGGATTATCTGATATTACAAATATACATTAAAAAAATTCCACTTTATAATATTAGTATGGATTTGTTTTGCTCTCATTATTTAAATAAATATATATATATATATATATATATATATATATATATATATAAAAAATACATGTATTCTTTATTATTTTCTTTCTTGTAAAATGTGATTAATATGGGCTAAAATAAGTTTTCAATAGTAGACTGACTTGCTGTTGAGACTTGAAGATTTTTACATTCAAAAATTTAAGTAAGAAGCATAACTTTTATTGAAATGGATGAAAAATAGTATACGAGTATATAAGTAGGTATTTGCATTATTTTCGATACGATTCTATTAATTCGAATTGCTACTGTCAGTTTAGGTTTATTGATAAGTTTCAAGATATGATTTATGACAATGGCTAGGAAACATTTAAACTTTTTTGCTCAAACATATTTATATAAAACGTAAGTACCAAGTAGTACAGATTTAAATGACGCGTGTGGGAAAGTAGCGTATCTACACTATAACATGTGAAGTAGTCATCTCCTTTTACAATGTTTTTTGCTCGTTTCCTTAATTTTGTTTACTTAACTTTGCCCCTAAAATTGTTTTCCATTAGAGATTATTAAACTTTAATATTTGCTAACTTCATGTAAGTGGTGTTTGGACAAGGCATGCGATATTGTTAATTAAAGCTTACCGTCATTACGCAGAGTGGTGTCACGTAGAGTAGGCCAAAGTTGACCATGTCGAATATTTCTGAATTGTATTTCATTCTATGTTGTATGCAAATGGTCTCCATGTGGCCATCACCAAGATCGTTAGTAATCGTCTCCACCCATATAAATTTCGGGGCACTATAGGCGGCGCTGGTGATCCATACGCCGAGGATGACCAACTGTGCAAATTAATACAGGCTTACAATTCAACTTCAATTTAGTACTTTTCACCTATGTAGGTACATTTTACATGCAATCTAATTTTTGTAATAAATATTAATAAAAGTACCACATCAGCGTTGTTTTACTAAAAAATAAAGATTTCATTCAATAATCTTTGTCAATATGAATAGTATGAAAAAAATATGATGCAATATCGGGAGCAAATTAAGCCTCTTCCATCTAGTTATGCTTGGTATGATTAAAAGACGCTACAAAGACAATTACTTTAAAACAATCGAACATTTTCCTTGTTTGCAACATCTGCTTCAATATAAAAGATTAAACAAAAGTTAGTTATAATATAAATAAAGTTACAGAGAAGTCGACGTGAACAGTCGAAGCTGCGGAGAATAGTGCCGACGCTATTTCGCAGTTACAATCGTTATAAAATACAGTACAAAATTTTGAACTACTGATTGCGCAGTATTTAAATAATGTCCGACGTTGCTTTTATTAGGTACTTGTTACGAAATATTTACTCTAATTTAAAAATAAACTCGATATATTCATGCTTTACATGAAAATTTTAATTAATATGTTAATAAAACAGTACAGTGTAAGAATTTATCATAATTTCTAACAGACTGTTTTCGACCAAGCATAATGTATAACGACCCCGGATTTTTGAACCATGTCGTTAAATGAATAGACCTTTTATATGAAATAATCAAACGTAATCACCTATGAGGAATTTTTGGTGCATTTAATATCTTACATAACAAAAAGATAATAAAACTATCATATCTATTGTATAAACTTCACTTACCCTCAACCTTGTCGAAGTAAGAATTTGTTTACATGTAATAGGGTGTATGATGGCGAAGTATCGCTCCGTACATATCACAACAAGTATAAATATAGATGCAGTGTAACTCAGCGAGTGCACAAATTGGTACATCTTGCAAAGAAAGTCTCCAAATACCCAACTGAAACAAAATAATGGTTTAGATTTTTTTTAAATATTCAACTATAAAGCTCTTTACAGTTAAAATTATTTTATTTTTCAATTTAGTACGTAGATATTTTCTGTTGTGGAGTAGATTGGAAGATATTAAGTCTTCATATTGTTATGTTCTTCCAGCCGGTACCGACGCAACTCGTATTAAACCTTGGTTGTACCGAAGGTATTCATTTGTATAGAATTGGGTTTATACTATTGTAAGAAATCTTATTTCAATATAATTATAGAGTTCGAGGGTGAATAGGTTCAAAGCCATTGTGGGATAATTATAATTAAGGTGATGTAAAAGTTGTCGTAAATTTTAAGTCTTAAAATAAATTATAAAACAAGAAAACCCGACTACGTAAAGACCGAATAAGTTCAAAAGATCTAAGTGCCTAAGTTGACGTATAAACATACTCGTACTATTACTAATATTATATGTAGCCGGAGATTTTTGCACATATTAAAATAATTTATGATATAGATTTTGTTTTTAATTAAAGCAAATCACTAAGTATTAATAAATGCAACCATCTTCTCAACTCCAGCTTACGACTGAGATTTTTTCTTAGAAAAATTCAATTACGTTTTGGCCCTGTCTGGCACTCGAACCTTTTATATATGATTGCTAATTTATTATAGTTTTGTGATGTTTTGTAGTTATATAACTGTATGCTACTGCGAGAGAAGTGGGAAATGATTTATATCTATACTAGTATTATAAAGAGGAAAGATTTGATTTTTTGTTTGTTTGCTTGTAGGTACTGAATAGGCTCCGAAACTACTGGACCGATTTAGATGAAATTTGGCAAGAAGATAGTTTAAGACCCTAGGAATACCATAGGATAGCTTTTATCCCGGAAATCATCCCTTAAGGGGGTGAAAATGGGGATGAAATTTTGTATGGGGAATCAACTTAGGGACAAATCCGAGCGAAGAGAGGGTGAGTCGTTAGTGAGGTTATAATTAACGTTTACATGTACCTCGTATATAATAATATAACACGGCTCAATTTTCATTGTGTAATAATGCTGAGAACATCCGCTGACTGAAATGTGGCGAAATCCACGTCCCTATCACGTTGAAGCAAAAAATCAATAGAAATTTTAATGTCGCTAAAACCTACGAATAAATAATAAGTTCGTAGACTAAAATAGTCAGTTCTTGGTTTATTATTTCAAATGTTTGTATTATGGCCTTATTAAATTTTAAGTAAAGTTTTTTTTTTTAATTTAAGATGATGAAATAATAAGATTTTCCTTTTCACGTTATTATTTTATTTAAAAAAAAACTGAATAAAATATTGGTTCCAGCTTACATCCTTACTTTATACTATTCTTATTAATTTGATCTTCTATGAAAGTTCTTATTTAAGCAATAAAAATTATAAAATGGATAAAAAATGTTTATTGACTTAATACGATTCACACAAAGCCTATTTTCATTCATATTCATTGTAATTATTTGTTGGCATGAACGAGCATATTTGGCCCATTTCCTGCAATAGTTTGTATGCAAAATTTTATTTGTCGCTAGAAAGAGAAGTCGCTAGAATGCGCCCGCTATTTTTAAATGGCTGTTTGAGCTGACTATAAAATAAATTTCTTCTGTGCAATATATTATTTTAGTAAGTCATGACGTGCATTTTGGTACAATGTGAATGCATCAGGTGCTATGTGAGATTTGATTAAGTTTTAAGGTATCATATCAACATAGATTTACGAACATTTTAAATTAATTTCAAAAGTTAATAATATAAAGAAATAGATTTATATACAACTAGCATTTCCCGGGGCTCCGCCCGCGTTCAGATGACCAAAAAACCAATTCTTAGGTTTTACATATTAGTATTATTACATTGCAGTATTTGTATTTTTTCTCAGAAATGAGACATTTTCCCGTGGTAAAAAGTATCCTATATATGTTGACCCGGATAACCAGCTATCACCATACCAAATTTCATGAAAATCCCTCCAGTGGTTTTTCTGTGATGCGGTAACAGACAGACAGACAGACAAAAATTCTAAAACCTCGGCCTCTTTATCGATAATAATGTTTATTTCAATAAGATTTTCCAAAAAATATTTAATGTACAGATTTGGCTTAGTCACAATTTTATTATATGTATAGATAATAATAGGTAGGTATAATAAGATGAAAATGACGAAATGAGCATAATATGATAGGTAAATAAATAAGTTAGTCTGTTTACGATACTGTTTGTTGTATTTTTTGATACATTGAGTACTAAATGCTTTATAATTTAATGTACATCAGAAAGCTATCAACATTAAAAAACCACATTATTACCTTTTAACCTAAGGCTAACAAATTAATAAATAAAATAATAAATTCTTAAAAACCTCTTTCTTTTTTCAGTTTCATTCATATTCATTATAGTAAAAATTGGCCAAGTTTAAATTCAAAGTGATGGAAATATGCCAAATTAGTCATGCTGTTCTAGAAGCCCATGTGGTATCTTGCACGTGGATAATTAAATTTTGTAGGTACTATGCAACCTTTCGTATGTAACTCCAACAGTTTCATGTTACGAATAAATATTAAATTCTACGCGCACAAACTTATATTAATATAGTATATGCGGTTGTACGAGGAATTCGTCGCATTCAATTACAGTAACATGAAGACTAATTTTATACTAGAGAAGCAAATATTGCTTTTATAAATTATTTACTTACTAAAATTTAAATAACAATATTTTATTGTTATTAATAATTAACAGTTAATTCGTTTTATTATTAATTAATTTATAGTGCACCATACATATCTGACATGTTTTAATAGAAGATAATCTACTACGCCAACAGTTACGGGGTTCGAGTTTATAGCTATGTTTGGTTATTATCGGTCCAGCAGTGTAAGAGTATCAGCTCTTTTCCAAAATGATGTAAGGCATTTTGGCGTATGATTACTCGATTAAGTGCTTCACGCGTGCCAGTGTAATCGTTAAATGGCAATAAATTTGCGTAGGGGGTTTTATAATTTTTTAATTACTTACTGTAAAAAGAGATGTATGAAATAATAGTAAGAACATAGTGGTGTAAAAAATAAATAAGAGAAAAGAAGAATGATTTGTTATAACGGCGCGGCCGCGGCGACGCGACGATACGCGTACCTACACGTATTTTTCTGTAATTTTAATAGAATAAATAGTTTGGTGTGTTATTAAGTGCTTTTATTTGTATCTCTGGATTCTATATTTATGTGGCTTCATTGATTTTTAACCTATTCATTAAAAATGATTATGAAAATCGGTTCATAATTAACGAAGATATCGCACAGCATACACACAGAACAAACGCAGCTGAATTGAGTCTTTATATAAATCTAACTATTTCTTGTGTTTAGTTGACTACTTCTAACATACGAATATACTAACAATATTAAAGGTGTTATTATTTATAAAAAATTACAATCTAAGGTGTTTCGACTGCAAACCTCTAAATCATTCAGGTCAAATAACATATCTAAATAATTGTGTCCATATTAGTTCACTTACCTAGGTATAAGGTATATTGTCAAATTTTGGAAGACGCAAAATACTCCAACGCACAAATCTGCTACAGCCAAATTGGCTAAGAAAAAATTGGTTATAGAGCGAAGTCGCCTTGATAAAGTTACCACAAGAATGACGAGAAGATTACCTGAAAATGAAGCAACGTACTTAATTTATTATTGAAATAAATTAAAAAAACAGAGTTAAAACTAAATATTATATAAAAAGATACACATCGTTGTAAAGCTCCATTTCTTTTAAATAAATTAAAAGTATGTAACTAATCTATGCGACAAATTCTATTAAAATTCTTCTAATATGTTAAGTATTAACACAAATGTTTCAACCAGTTACTCCACTTTGTTATTATATATGTATATTAATTTTATTTACAGTTCATAATTATTTGCTTATAAAATAATGCGAAAGTTTTTTTATCTTAAAGCTTCAACTTATGAATTTTGTAAGAACTAACTGATATATTTGTAAATGATTTATTTTAGTTGGGAAGTCGCATATCAATAAAATATAATATTAAAATAGTATTAGTTTAAAGACTTATTATAGTAGATAAATTAGAATTAACTATGTATCTTATTTGAGGAAGACATCAGTATAAATTCCGAAGTTAGACAAGACGCAACGCTGCTGACACGTATTGCCTATAAATTGGAGGAAAATAGAGAAAGTAAATGAGTGACCTCATATTATCTCCATATTAATTAATTATTATAATATGTACTCACTCACACATAGTTATGTCTAGTTCCTATTAATTAAAAATAGTAGCAGTGTCTATAATAACAATTTATTTGTAATCAAATTTTAATTTTAATTGGATATACCTATACATTATTGATAATTAAAATTTGAACGCATTATTACACATCTATGTATATGTACACATAAAAATGTAGTAGTGCATTCAAAATTGGAGTTTATAGATAAATAGATTTGAATTATAAATGCGAAAGTGAGTCGTTCTATCTGACTGTCCCTCGCGTCGGCATGGCTATCCAGTTGGTCTGACGTAGATATGAAATGACAGTACCCAGAATGAGGAAGCTATTTGTTAGTAAAAGTCGATTACAAGTTGCTAGGAAAGCTTTATATGAAAAATCATTTTACTTGCTACTTTTAACTTTCTTATTATCCTTTTGTTTAATAAACAATCAATGATTACCTCTAAAAAGAAATACTAGTGAGTTTGTGAGGGAGGGAGGGAGCGAGCGAGCGAGTTAGTAAGTAAATAAGTAAGTAAATTAATTAAAAAACAAAACTAAAAACTTAATACTTTAAATAAATTTGTTTTTAAATTTTATTCAGAAAAGGTGATTGATACAATAAAATAAAAACTAAAAAAAACCGACTTCCAGACACTAAAATGTAAAAAATAACTAAACGAGGTTTTCATTTAGAATAGATACCTAATCAGATATTTTCGAAGCCGGTGCCAGCCCAATTAGGGTAGTTCTTAATATGTTTATGATTATGTTACACTATATTTATTCAAGTTGAAGCGTAATAATATCCACGGTAATGTTACATACAGTATTCCATCTTCATACAAACGGTCGGAAATCGACCTATACCTATGCGCCTCGAGTTCGGTATACACTCGGTAGACAACCGTCGGGGCTGCCAGATCGTGTAATTGGATACGAAAATTGTATAAGGTGGTTATGTTATGTAACGTTAAAATAAACATTTTATTCCTCCCGCTACTAACTTCGCTAACAAACCAAACAAACCAACAAAAAAGTATCGAGACATCGTATGTTTTAAAAATAAAAATTAATTAATTAAATTAAAAATAAAAATTAAACTTTTCAATTTTTAAATTTAAATGCGGATTTTTTATACTATTAAATTTAACAATAAAGCTTTTCGTACGTCTCAATCAAGACGCAAATGTTTTTCAAAAATCTCAAATTTATAAGAGTGGTATGTGACCCTTATTTGATATTTTTTAATTAAATCTACTGATAATATTTTTTAAATAAAAACAAAGTATTAAAATCACAAAACTAGAATGAAACAAGTAGGTAGATGAAATTAAAATACTGTTGGCGGGCAGCCCTGTGGCGTAGTTACGTACCTATGTACCGCTCGACTGTAGGTAATTATTTCAAAGACAGTGCTGAGTTACAATACTGTATAATGCATAACATAACCGTGTAATATCGGTCATTATAGTAATACCACAGATCATATAATACGTAATACTAAAAAGAAATAAATAAGGAATATATAATTTAAAAAAAAAACAACTTCCAAAATATACAAAGCAATCCAAAAAAAATACCACAAGTTTAAAGTAACAAATAATATTATTTATTCTATATACTTGTCAATGTTTTAAAGTCGATTGTGTAATTTGCAAGTTGGTTTTTGTATATTTTTTTACTTTACAGAACAAATTTTATATTGACATTGAAAGTTATTTAATAGGTTTCTTTTTCTTAAGCAAAAAACAAAACTTTAGATCAACGTTGCTACGCGTGACGCGGATAGCTAATACCTATACATCACATCACTTACATCACTTACATAAATTCTAATACATAGCCGAATATGAATTTTTATGGTGTTTTTATTCATTTATATAATTAATTAATTATTATTATAAGCTGTTAATTTTTAATCGATGAAAACATCATTCAGGAATAACATGTAAACAAGAAGTTTGCCACTCTGAATATAGAGAGCTTGGTAATTGATAATGCCTGCCCGAGCTCGACTCAGATGCTATTAACTGCGTCATAGAACCGAAATCGATGTCCATTGAAATTTATGCAAACAGCTGATTTGTGACAGATGTCATTTAACGTTCATCATCACGCTAACGATATTTACATTGCAGACATACCGCATCCGTTTTGTTTTTATTATCAACGTTTATTTACGAGTATATTGATTTCCGTAAACTCTGTTTTTCGATTCGTTGTATGTGAAGTGGATAAGCTAGTAAAGGTCAACTTTCGTTGATATGACTGGAAGTGTAAATATGTTACTTTTAGAAAAGTTTGTTAGTAGGTTGAAGATTTTGGTTTTTATTATTTTACACGATAATTTCTAGAAATATCATTTTATATAGTCTATTTATTAATGAAAGTTACAGGCTGTCTAACATTACGCTACGACCCTTAGAAGCGGATCAATACATTAATAAAAATGTAAGCAGAACCGCGGGCAAAGGCTCAAAAAGGCTGTTTTGGCACAGCCACTTAAAAATCGGATATCAGAGTAGGTAAGGACTTACTCATGATCAATGTATTACATTCCCAAAAAGGTGCTTTACTCTGCGTATAATAGATAACAATCTCTCAGAGGCATCTATGCTGACCGGTAGAGTATTTAATTAAAGGTTTTTCCATGCCCACCGTGCCCATAACGGTCGACCCCCCTTGCAAAGGCTAGCTGTTGCTAGAATAAAGCTTCTTTATAAGGCAATCAATTGCCAGCTGCTGTTTATTATAATGATCGTAATAAACGTCTAGTTCAATTCATTATTAATTCTAATTTATAGGAAAGACGCAATTGAAAAGGTACAGAAATGAATTGTTGTCAGGACTGATTTACTGTACCTAATAATTATAACGATTTGTTAAGTTTTTTTTTACAAAAAATACTTTTTTATAATTAGGACATCTTAAATAAAATAAAATAAATAAAATAAGTGCTTTACTTCTGCTAATGCAGTTCGTCTTTCAGCACAAATACCCATGATCTTGATGACATGACCATAAGAATTCACATTAAATATAGTTACAGGGGTTTTTTTATGAGAGCAAGAAATGGAGTTTTCTAATGGTTTATTTTATAAGATTAATTTATTCTTAGGAATGAAAGTTCATGGTTGCTAAACTTTAAAGTAGGGCACAAATTGAACATAACTTTGAAACAAAATAAGTTCGTATAACTCATGTAAGGCATACTCTTATAATATTATATTATTAGAAGCTATGCTTGTTTTTTTATTACTAGAAGACAAGTATACCCACGTCTCATGGACAAATTGAGAGGAACTCTAAACTCAATTTGAAATTGAATTTCATCGTAAAAGCTGATTTTTATTGCCGTTTTTTCGATATGGTAGCGTGTGCGGCTACGATACGAGGTGATAAAGTGAACATTTAAAAACAGCAGATTAGAAATCTATTTAATTTTTTTCGTTTATTTTTGATAGTATGTCAGTATAAAAGCAGTTATTGCACCCTTTAATGATTTGTAGCAATATAATAAAATTGAGTCCTACAATAATTTCTGTACAAACCATTTTATTTATGAAGTGTGTGCCACAAACCAACAGACATTTCGTATTCCTGAAAAACTTTTCTTCATTTTACGGTGTAAATTACTGTACTATATTGTGATCCGTTCTCAAGACGATAAATTCAATCAAAGCTTATCGGAAATAACGAATAAATTAAATTCTGCAAATTTGAGGATACTATATGTTTAGAAGGAGCAATAAAAATACTTTTACTTTTGTAAATTTTTAAGAAACATTAATTATTTTTCTTACAGATGTTGTTATTATGATGTAAACAGTATGTTCCCAAAAGTTTTTCAGTAAATTAAAAACGACCCTGTATAAAAAATCTGTTATCAAAGGTTTATAAATCATTTGCTTCGATATTATTTGTTAGACATAGAGATTTCGACACTCGCTGACAAAAATAATTGATTCCATTTGCGATAAAAGGTTCATACATAAAATATAGAAAATTTTGTTAATTCAATTTATCAAATAACTATTTACGTCGTAAGAAAACTGATTTTGTACAAGTTTTCGAATACGAAGCGAAAAACAAACAAACAACGATATACAAGCGAAGTTTAACATTTAAAAACATAATACTTTCTTAGAATATTTCTTGGGAATACGTCGACGAGAGCCGGAACAAACTTGCATCTGAAGTCGAATCTTTGTTAACCAAAGTCTCGGATTGGGGTCGACTAAACTTAGTCCAATTCAACCCCAAAAAGACACAAGTTTGCGCGTTAACCGCTAAAAAATCGCCATTTATCGTAGCTCCTCAATTTGAGGACACTCCTCTGTCTGCCACAGCCAGTATCGGAATACTTGGCGTCGACATCTCGAGCAACGTCCAGTTCCGTGGTCAATTGGAAGGTAAGGCCAAA